ACCGATTTTGGTGTTTTCTTCAGAGTAGGTTATAAATATATGTTGTTATCTTTTCCTCCAATATAATTGGTGGACTTTGAACAATTTGTAATTATTTCAAGGCAGGCAGTGTCACTTTATTATGAAGTAAAACATGCACAATGGAAAAATATATGTATGTATGTGTATAACTATATCTATATAAATATAAATACATTACAAAGAACCATGACAGGGGACTGGGGTTGTGGCTCAATGGTAGAGTGCTTACCTAGCACGGTCAAGGTCCTGGGTTTGATCCTCAGCATCATATAAAAATAAGTAAGTAAAATAAAAGTATTGTGTTCAACTACAACTAAAAAATAAATATCTATTTTTTAAAAAAGAAATATGACATGGGCTGGAGTTGTAACTCAGCAGTAGAGCGCTTGCCTAACATGTGCAGGGTGGTGTGCTGGATTCGATCCCTAGCACCACATAAAAATAAAATAAAGGTATTGTGTCCAACTACAACTAAAACAATTTAAAAAAATATTTTTAACCTGGTCAAAAAAAGTATTTTTGAGCCAGTGTAGTGGCACATGCCTGTAATTCTACCAAGTAGGGAGGCTGAGGCAGGAGGATTGTAAGATCAAGGCCAGGCTCAGCAATTTAGTGAGGCCCTAAGCAACTTCAGGAGACCCTGTCTGAAAAAAAAAAAAAAGGGGGATGGAGATAGCTCTATGTGGTAGATCACACCTGGGATAAATCCCCAGTAGGAAAAAGAAGAGTTGTTTTTTTTTTTTTTTAATTTAATTGATTTTTAAAAAAATAAATGACAGCAGAATGCATTACAATTCTTATTATACATATACAGCACAATTTTTCATATCTCTGGTTGTATATAAAGTATGCTCATACCAATTTGTGCCTTCATACATGTACTTTGGATAACGATATCCATCACATTCCACCATCCTTGCTAACCCCCTGCCCCCTCCTTTCCCCTCCCACCCCTCTGTCCTATCTAGAGTTTTTCTATTCCTTCCATGCTCCCTGTCCCTACCCCACTATGAATCAGCCTCCTTATATCAGAGAAAACATTTGGGATTTGTTTTTTTGGGATTGGCTAACTTCACTTAGCATTATCTTCCATTTACCTGCAAATGCCATGATTTTATTCTCTTTTATTGCTAGTAATATTCCATTGTGTGTGTGTGTGTGTATGTATGTATATGTATATATATATATATATATATATATATATATATATATATATATATATATATGCCACATTTTTTTTTATCCATTCATCTACTGAAGGGCATTTAGGTTGGTTGCACAGTTTAGCTATTGTGAATTGTGCTGCTATAAACATTGATGTGGCTGTGTCCCTGTAGTATGCTGTTTTTAAGTCTTTTGAGTATAGATGGAGGAGAGAGACAGCTGGGTCTATTCCCAGTTTTCCAAGGAATCTCCATACTGCTTTCCATAGTTTTTTAAAAAATATTTTCTTAGTTGTCAATGGACTTTATTTATATGTGGTGCTGAGAATTGAACCCTGTGCCTCACACATGCTAGGAAAGTGCTCTACCACTGAGCCACAACCCCAACCAAAAAGTATTTTTTAAAAATATTTTCAGGGGCTGGGGATGTGGCTCAAGCGGTAGCGCGCTCGCCTGGCATGTGTGTGGCCCAGGTTCGATCCTCAGCACCACATACAAACAAAGGTGTTGTGTCGCCGAGAACTAATAAATATTAAAAAATTCTCTCTCTCTCTTTAAAAAAATATTTTTCAGTTGTAGTTGGACACAATACTTTTATTTATTTTTATGTGGTGCTGAGGATCAAACCTAGGGCCTCGAATGTGCTAGGCGAGCACTCTGCCACTGAGCCACAACCCCAGCCCCCCAAAAGTATTTTAAAAATGTTTGTTCAATGTCTTTTAGAGGGATTCAGCACTGCATGGAGAAAGGGGAAAGGTGGGCCATGAGTTGCAGTACCCCTTTTGTCAACCCAGCTCAGAAAAACATCCTCCCTCTTTAGAGGGCAGCTTTTTTTTTTTTTTTTAGTAAAACCTACCACCCCAGGCTGGGACCAGGCAAAATGTTCCAACTACATCTGTGATTCTCCTTTGGATAGCTACTAAATACAATATTCTTTGTCTCATAAATTACCAGTGGTTTTATTATTTTGTTTGGGGTATATAGATTGAACCCAAGGACTTGTACATGATAGGCAATCCCCACCCTTCCAGTGATGTTTGCTATGTGTGTGTGTGGGGTGTGTGTGTGTGTGTGTAGACAAAGAGAGATGCGAGTTTACAGGCCTTAAAATACAATTGCAGCCTGGAAAGGAATTACATGTCTGTAATCTCAGGTACTCGGGAGGCTGAGGCAAGTTCCAGACCAGTCATTGCAATTTATTGAGATCCTTTCTCATAATAGAACATGCTGGGGATGTAACTCAGTGATAGTTTCTATCACTGAGTTCATGCCTCCTAGCATGCTGGAGCCCCTAGGTTAGATCCCTAGCACTACAAAACCAAACAAGCAAACATACTAATCATAAAGCATATAGTAATGATTCATTGTAAATACTGCACATACTTTGGTTATCTGGCCATCCAGTGATTTTTATTTTTTTTGTGGTTCTGGGGATTGAAACTCCTGCAACTCAGGGGGTTTCCATTTTCAGTCAGTTCCAGCTCTGTCCCCCACTCCCTCAGATGTCTCTCTTATCCCTATGGAAACCAGCCTTTTCTGGCCTTGGTCCATTCTCCATGCCCATGTTGAAGTGAACTTGCGTCTCACCTGTTCCTTTCATCTAGCATATCCAGGGCCTCACACATGCTAGGAAAGCACTCTCCCTCCAGTGATATTTTAATAGTGCTCATGGATTGGGTTTAGATGTGCTCTTTCATCTACTTTCTCTCTCTTCAGATGAGTTATTCATATATAAGACATTTCTCAAGATCTTTTAGGAATCATGACTTTTCCAACAGACTAAAGTTTTAAAAAATGAGGACTTTTGACATCCCCAAAACCTGTACTGGTTTTGCAGTAGCAACAATTTCTATAATGAAAGCATTTCTTAAGTGACTTTAGGTGTGTGAAATCAGTCATCATGGAATAGGATCCCTATTAACAAGGGTCTTATCATCCTGCTTCTACTCAGCATGGGTAGGAAGGAGAATTGTGGAAGTTATTCATTCCCTGTGTTCCTATATCAGTTTCCACTTTTTTGCTAAAGCACTTACCACTATTATAGTTAATTATTTAATAGCTCATCATCTCCTTTACAATTGGATACTGTTCTTAGGGGCAATGATCTTTTATTCTTTGTAAGTGACCCAATGCCTTGAACAAGTGAAGAGAGCAGATATTTGAATCCTCTGCTATTTGAATCTTTGAAAAAACAGACACTTGGTCTAGTACCTTAAGAAGCTGAATGACCTAGTCTTTTGTTTATATGTTAAATTATATAGTTGGAATAGTTTAGGCATGAATCAACAGGGGTCAGTGGGTTCCAGATTTTTAAAAAATATATATTTTTAGTTGTTGATGGATTATTTTATTCATTTATTTATATGGGGCGCTGAGGATTGAATCCAGTGCCTCACACATGTGAGCTCTACCACTGAGTCACAACTTCAGCCCTTAAAATAGTTTTTTGTTGTTGTTGTTGCTGGGGATTGAACCCAGGGGCTTGTGTATGCAAGGCAAGCACTATACCAACTGAGCCATATCCCTAGCAGGGGCTCCAGATTTTTGACGTCATGTCCCATATAAAATTAAGAAAGACCACAAAGATCAGATGACTTGGTAGCTATCTCCTGTACTATTTAAGACAAGTACTGTATCTGAAATGACAAACGTATGGAAACCAAAACTACCGTTTTGTGATATCTATATAATTATCTACACTCTTGGCTTCTGAATGACCCATTCAGAAGCACTTTATTTGGCCTCAAAAGATGGAGCTAGATTCTGATTAATTTGTTCAGTGCTTATTGTCTAAATCCCAGCCTTTAGCACCTCCGGAGGGACCACGGACCAGCCAACTCTCTTGTGTTTCACTTTCAGGACGATGGCTCAAGATACACAAATACGAGAGATGATTTCGCCCTGGGGAGGTTGGGAGTGACTATTAAGACATGTATTTAACAGAAAGATGGGATGGGAGGCCTCACTGATCAGTCTCACATAAAGATGCAGACGGCTGGGCAGATCAGAAATCCGTCATCGAAACAGACTTAGGCATTGTGTTCGGCGAACATTAACAGGGTAGAGAACTCGACGCCCCACCGGCCTCACGGACTGCCAGGGACGCTGAATGGCTCTGTTGTCCGGAGTACTGGCATTTCCCACACCCAGTGGCTCTGAAGTGGCCTTTAGGGGAAGAAAAAAAGAAAAAAGAAAAAAAAAAACTTGGTCTGAGAAGCAAGGGTAGGCGTTAAGTCGTAAGATGCGCAATCGAGGGCGGCCTGCACTAGCGTCGCGGCCGCAGAGGTACAGCAGGAATCAGCGAGCGAGGTTTCTCTCACGCGCGCGTCTTCGGCCAACTCCGGGGGAGTTTCGGCTCTTTCCGTCAGTTTCAGCTCGGCCCTCCACTCTGCGCGCGCTATCCCCCACGACGCGGTGCCGGGCTTTTCTTGGCCTTGGGCCCTTCACCACGCCAACGTGGACTCGCGTCTCACCCGTTCCCTCCTTCCATCTAGTTTGTCCCAGACCTATTCATTCCTCATCTCCTCAGTAATTACCAGTCTCCGGCAAAACCAGAGTTCCTAAAACTCTAGCGCGCGAGCTGGCGGGTGGCACGAGAGACCAGCGCCTGAAAAAAGCGGTAACTGGACCAACTTGAGTCCGTCTCGCGCCCCACACCTCTCCACTCTAAGGTGTCAGGGCGCGCGGGTCGCCTCGCGCTCGGGCCTCGCTCGCGCGCGGGTTAGCTGCAACGGCCACGAGCTCGGCGCGCCAGGTTCGCGCCGGCGCGAGCACGCGCTCTGCGCTCTGGCCGGCTAGCGCGCACGCGCCCGAGAGGGCTCCGGGGCGGGGCGAGCAGCTCGAGCCCGGTTGAGGGTCGGTGTGGATCGCTGGCACTCCGGCCCCCAGCCGCGCTGCGATTCCCGGCCCGCCGCCGGGGTGTCCAAGGAAGCCGGGAAGGCGGCGGTGGAGGCGGGGCGGCTTCGGGCCCTGCGAGAGCTGGGGGAGGAGCGTGGCGGTGACGGCGGCGGCTCCAGAATAGAAGGAGGCAGAAGATCTCCTTTCCTCTTCTCAGACCCGGGAGCGTCCGGGACTCAGAGCCCGGAACTGGGGGGGACGCGGCGACTGCTGGGCCCGGGCTAGGTGAGCTGGGGTGTTGGTCGAAGAGGTTGGTGGGGCTCAGTGGGTCACAGAGGTGGAGGGCGGGCTCCAGGAAGGGAACGGGGGAGGGGGCAGTTGTTGGGGGTTGGGGAACCGAGAACAGGGGGATGTGAGCCCTTTGGGACCAGGAGTGCCCAGAGGGTCTAGGGTTTCTGGGGTTAGTGGGGCGGGCGAGGCAACCGGGTCTGAGAGTTTCCGAGGGATAGGCCAGGGAAACAATGGAATGAAGGGGAACTGTGGTATGAGCTTGTGTGGGGTATTGGATTTTAAGAAAAAACGAGCAAGATCGGAAAGAATGAAATGGATCATTTGGGATCTGAAGTACAATGAAGTGGGGATGCGTAAGGTCATCTGCGTGGGTGTCCGAGAGCCTTAGGATTTGAGGGCAATAATGGAATTTGAAGATGAGGAGTAGAAGGGCATATTTGGAATTGAGAGGGAAACGGAGTAGAAAACAAGGCAAAAAGAGGTAGAGAAATACAATAGATAGGCTTTGAATTAAAGCAGAAGTGTAGAGTCCATGGTAGATGGACTAGAGAACTATCTTTCTCTTAATTCATCCAGGATGATTGGGTTCTTTTAGAAATGGGTTTTTCTCAGGCTTGACCTTTTGCTAAGGAGTACACACCATTCTTTTAATAATTTGGTTATCACTTATAGTCCGTTTTGTTGAAAAAGCGTATCTATAATATCTATTTTTCCTCTAGGTAATTTACTTGTAGTTAAACACATCACCAAAAATATATTGCTTTGAGTTATATCAGTGATAATGCAGAGTTGAGGGTGTTTGGGGAACACAGAACTTGTTTTAGTTGGACCAAAAGGGGATGAATAGCCTTGATAAAATCCAGGTTATCAGTACTTCGTTAGAATTGCAATTTCTCACTGAGAAATATTCATGTTTCATTTTTTACTGGGTTTTATACTCATGGAAAAGTGTTGGGGTTCTACCCAAGATACTGTTTCTTGGTGCTGACTCTAAATTATCAGGCTGCCTCATACTTTACAAGTTTGAATTAAGGTGATTTTGGAATATTGTGGGAAAGTATTTCTGGAGTTACAATCTTTGCATTTTATTAATACTGGATTTTCAGACCAAATTTTCGATGGTACTATAGAAAATTGCTGATTTTGAAATTGCAATTACCATATGTGTTCATAAATAGTCCATGTTAAGCTTTTTGCTTTTGGGCATTAAGTTTTGCTGACTCATCTAAAGATTTCTGGGCATCAGTTATTTTTCAGCTGTGTCTCCAGTGGTAGCATTTGGTTATTTATAAGGGTCCAAAATTAATAATCTAAATTGTACTTTTCTACTTGGGAGGCTGAGGCCAGAGGATTGTAAGTTTGAGGTCAGCCTGGGCAACTTAGCTAGACCTTATAAAAAGTAGAGAGGGATGGGGATGTAGTTCACTGGTAGAGTGCCCCAGAGTTTCATCCCTAGTATGGGGGGGTGGAAGATAAATTGTACTTTTATATAAGTATGTTATAAAAATTGAACAAAGCAAGAAGTGACTGTAGTGTCTTCAGTGATAATAAGGGCTAGGCAAGGTTCTAAGGTTCTAAGATTTTTTTTATGCATTATCTCATTTAATTTAATCCTCACAATTATTTCCTCTTTTTAAAAAAATATTTTTAGTTGTAGATGGACACAAGACCTTTATTTATGTATTTTTATTTGGTGCTGAAGATTGAACCCAGTGTGTGCTGCACCACTGAGCTTACAACTGGGGCCCCCAATTATTTCCTCTTTTGTAAATTAAGAGGTTAAATAATTTTCTAAGGTCACAGAATTAGTGACTAACAAAAGCTGAATCCAGACCCAGCTCTTTTGGATGCCTTCTTTAAATCTTCCCCCCCCCCCCCATGCTGGCAATTGAATCCATGGGTGGTTTACCTTTGAGCTGTACCCCAACCCTTTATATTTTTTATTTTGAGACAGCGCCTCACCAAGTTGATTAGGGCCTGGCTAAGTTTCCGAGGCTGGCCTTAAACTTGCAATCCTCCTGTTTCAGTTTCCAGAGTCCCTGGAATTACAGGTGTGCATCACCATGCCCAGCTACCTTCTTTAAATCTTCACTGCCTGATTTTTCTTTCTGTTCCACCCTATCTTGGTATGTAGTAAAGCATAGGAAACTTGATTTTGATATGACAGCAGTGATTTTGATGAAGATTGGGTTAGTGGACAGTTTATTTCCCCTGTGATTTAACAGAGCTTCTGGGGTCTTGATAATTCGGTTAAAAACATCTTTCTGCTAAGAGTTTGTTTTTTAATTATACTTGATTTTCTATTTAGCCTAGTGTACTGCTGAAGTATGGTGCATACGTGGCATTCTTACTTGTAGAAGCTAAGGCAAGCAGTTGTGGAGCCAAAACCAATTAACTCTGGAAAACAATAAAAACTGCTCAGGCTCAAATGCTCTCCAAACACCTGTTGAGCCCACAGTTGGTACTGGCATTACCTCTAAATATAGATAGGATCCAAGAAACCTAGACTGAGGCAACTTTAGAGAAATAAAGAGAAACAGCTGTGGCCTGAGAGAGGAACCATAGGTTACTGGCCAGAACATCAGCCTAGTGCCTGGAGGCTAGAGATGGGGAATGGAGGGTAGGGAATTTTCTGTTGTGTTTTTTTTTTTTTTGTACCTGGGATTGAACAACATCCCCAGCCCTTTTTATTTTTATTTATTTATTTTTTAAGACAGGGCCTCGCCAAGTTGCTGAGGCTGGCTTTAAACTTGTGATCTTATTGCCTTATTGGGATTACAGGCATGCATGATTGCACCTAGCTGCTCAGTTACTTTAAAATGGTCATTTTATTACATGTTCCCCTGAAGGTAGCGCTTGGCCTTTATGTATGAGTAATGGTGCTTTCTCTACTGACTTCCTATATTGTTAGCAGGATACTTGGTATTGGAAATGATTCAAAAGTAAGGAACCATTTGTGATATACAGATCCTTCCACTTACCCATGCACTATGGGTGATAATCTTCAGAGTGTTGTGTGTTGTGTCTGAAAAATGTGTCAATAGTGTAAAGCATTTGTTGTATACTTTGCTGCCTTCTTTTTTTTTTTTTTTTTGTACTGCGCATTGAACTCAGGGGCACTCGACTACTGAGCCAGATCCCCAGCCCTTTTTTGTAATTTATTTAGAGACAGACTCTCATTGAGTTGCTTAGTAAGCCTTGCTTTTGCTGAGGCTGGCTTTGAACTTCTGATCCTCCTACCTCTGTCTTCTGAGCCACCAGGATTATGGTTGTGCGCCACTGCGCCTGGCCAGACATTTTTATTTTTTATTTTGAGACTGGACCTTACCAAGTTGCCCACTGTCACGGGTGGTTTCTACAGACTCAGTCTGAGGCACAGTTAGATTCAACCAAATCTATTTTATTAATGCTCATCAGACTTCAGACACAGATCCTAATTCTGAGTCCTAAGTCTACACGCAGGGGTCCCAGACGCTCACCTGTGATGTGTCTTAAGTCCAGGTTGCTGGAACTCCATCCAGGAGGAGTCTGGGGGGTGGGGGACAACAGCAGTGGAGTTCTCTGTTTCTCTATCCAGATCCTGTTAGTCCTGCCAGGCTTCAGAAGGCTGGGCTTTTAAGTTCTAGTTCTGTTGTGCTTGCAGCTGATAACTGGGTGAGCTCTGCAGTCTACGCCTGGGTATACTCTTCCATCACTATCTTAAGTCCATCTAAGTTCCGCAGTTTATCTAAGTTTTGCGGTTTATATTACATCATGGACATAATGCTTACAGTCTTTATCTAACACATACACTAATTAACATAATCCACATTCAATAATTCTATAATATTTTCTGGTACTCATATCACCCAGGCTAGCCTTAAACTTGCGGTCTTTCTGCCTTAACCTCACAAGTTGCTGGAATTACAGGTGTGCATCACTCTGGGCTCAGCTGTTATATGTTTAAATATTTCTAACAGATTCCTGGAATACATGAATAGAACAGGAAGTAAAACTGGTTGAAGTCATTGACTCCATTTTTTTCCCTTCCATGTATATGAATTGTCACATAATACCCGATATAATAGATTGAAGTAATTATGGTGAGCTGTCCCTTAGAATGGGTCTCAAGTCCCAAATCATTTTTTCTAAATGTCACACCCTTGCATCTTGTTTCTTAAGCTTATTTGGCTTCAAAGTGATTTCAGGCTCAAATGCTGTTTTCCAGGAGCCTTGAGGAGACTTTTTAAGTAAGCCCATACTTACTATGGATGTAGTCTGTTTGAAACTCAGCCCAACTACTAGAGAGTTAAATTAGTTCTGAAATATTTTAAAAATTTGAAATTCATAATTGCTTTTATCTTTAGGTTGCTTTATATTAAGGATTGGCTGGAGGACAGCATTTAATCTGCATGTTCATATCCAGTATGGTAGCCTATAGGAGTGGATTCCTGAAATAAACTATATACATTCTGTAGTAGCCCCAGACCCTTAAAATGTTCTGCAGGGTCTGAAGATATTTAAAGGCAGCTACTCCTTCTCTCCCTCCTCCTCGTCCTCTTGGAGCTTTTTTTTTTTTTTTTTTGGTACTGGGCATTGAACCCAGGGGTGCTTAACCAGTAAGCCCCCAGGCCTTTTTATTTTTTCAGTTTGAGGTAGGGTCTTGCTGAGTTCTTAGGGCCTCACTAAACTGCTGAGGCTGGCCTAGAACCTGTGATCTTCCTACCTTAGCTTCCTGAGTCACTGGGATTTACAGGCATGCACCACTGCTTCTGGCTTAAAGGCAAGCTCCGCAGCTGTTGTCCTATGACTAGTTTGTGGTTAGGAGCAAGTTGATTAGAGGTGTTTTGGGATCTTCAGGGATTTCATGAGGTTTTTTTCCCTGACCCAAACCCTAAATAACAACCATGGATTTCTGGTAAGAAGGAAGATTTTTACATTACTAAATTAGCAGGATGGCATGATTACTAGTTGTGGAGTGTGTGTGTGTTCTTTGGAATAGGCTAAAGGGTGTT